TCATTTGCCATTGTGTTGCCCAATCACTCAGTTTGATGAGATCTTTTTGAAGTTCTTCACAGTCTGCTTTGGCCTTGACTATCTTGAACAGTTTAGTATCTTCTGCAAACTTTGCCACCTCACTGTTCATCCCTTTCTCCAGATCATTTATGTATAAGTTGAATAGGACTGGTCGAAGGAGTGGGGAACACCACTAGTTACCCCTCCCCATTCTTAAAATTTTCCATTTATTCCTCCCCTTTTTTTCCTGTCTTTTAACCAGTTCTCAATCCATGATCGGATCTTCCCTCTTATCCCATGACAACCTAATTTACAGAAGAGCCTTTGGTGAGGGACCTTGTCAAAGGCTTTCTGGAAATCTAAGTATACTATATCTACTGGATCTCCCTTGTCTCAATGTGTGTTGAGCCCTTCAGAGAACTCTAATAGATTAGTAAGACAGGATTTCCCTTTACAGAAACCATGTTGACTTTTGCCCAACAAATTACATTCTTCTACGTGTCTGACAATTTTATTCTTTACTATTGTTTCAACTAATTTGCCCAGTACTGATGTTAAGCTTACTTATCTGAGTGCCACGGCGGGAGGGGAAGGGAGGCGGGGCACTGACGCACAAGGCCAGGGGGAGTGGCCGTGTACTTCAGCATTACAGACTCAGAGACACTGGGCTACTATATATATGATTTTTACACTTAATTTGACAGTGTTTATGTTCCTTTCTGTTTACCTCACTAGGATTGGACTTCCACTTCTTCAAAGATGCCTTTGTATCTCTCACTGCATCTTGTACATGGTTTTTAAGCCACGGTGTCTCTTTTTTAGGTATCTTTCTATGGTTTTTAATCCGGGGTATGCATTTCAGTTAGGCCTCTATTATGGTGTCTTTAAAAAGTTTCCATGCAGCTTGCAGGGATTTTACTCTGGTTACTGAACCTTTTAATTTCTGTGTAACTAACCTCCTCATTTTTACATAATTCCCCTTTTTGAAATTAAATGCCAGAGTGTTGGACTGCTGAGGTGTTCTTCCCACCACAGGAATGTTAAATGTTATTATATTATAGTCACTATTCCCAAGCGGTCCTGTTACGGTTATCTCCTGGACCAGATCCTGCACTCCACTCAGGACTAAATCGAGAATTGCCTCTTGTGGGTTTCTGTACCAGCTGCTCCAAGAAGCAGTCATTTAAGGCATCGAGAAAGTTTATCTCTACCTCTTGTCCTCAGGTGACATGTACCCAGTCAATATGGGGATAATTGAAAGCTCCCATTATTGAGTTTTTTATTTTGATAGCCTCCCTCTTAGCATTTCAATATCACTATCACTGTCCTGGTCAGGTGGTCGATAATAGATCTCCACTGCTTCATTGTTGTTCGAACAGGGAATTACTATCCATAGCGATTCTTTGGAACATGTTGATTCATTTAAGATTTTTAATTCATTGGATTCTACATTATCTTTCACATACAGTGCCACTCCGCCACCCGCACGACCTGGTCTGTGCTTCCGATGTGTTTTATAGCCCGGTATGATTGTGTCCCACACTGATTGTCCTGATTCCACCTGGTTTCTGTGATGCCTATTGTGTCAAACTCCTCCTTTAATACCAGGTACTCGAGTTCACCCATCTTATTACTTAGACTTCTAGCATTTGTGCAGACCACTTTAAATTGCGACTGTTTATTTGTCTGCCCTTCTCTGGTGTATTAGATTCTTGTATATGTGACTGTTTCTTGTCTGATCTGGCCCATACTTTATCATCTCCCCTCCTCTCTTTCCGACTAACACCTAGAGAATCTCCATCAATGGACTCTCCTCTAAGAGACGTCTCTGTCCGATCCACATGCTCCTCCACACCAATCGGCTTTCCCCCAGCTCTTAGTTTAAAAACTGCTCTACGACTTTCTTAATGTTTAGTGCCGGCAGTCTGGATCCACCCTGGTTTAGGTGGAGCCCGTCCTTCCTGTGTAGGCTGCCCCTCACCCAAAACTGTCCCCAGTTTCTAATAAATCTAACTGAGTGTTCCACACTTGTCGGCTGACGCTGGCGGCGTTTCACAGAACGAGACCGAGTGCGATCGGTTCCACGATTTCCACGAAAAGCCCATTTTGCCCTGGCTGGGGAAGAGGACACCCTGCGCCGTACCGGGTGTGCGATCGCAGGTCAGTGCGCTGTCACCCCAATCTCCCCTTCCAGACAGAGTCACGTTCCTGCATAGGCTCCCTGTCACCCAAAACCATCCCCAGTTGCTAATAAAACTAAAGGCGTGTTCAGAGTGCGATCGGTTTAATGATTTCCACGAAAAGCCCATTTTGCCCTGGCTGGGGAACACGACACCCCGCGCCGTGCCGAGTGTGCAATCGCCGGTCACTGCGCTGTAACCCCTAGCTCCCCTTCCAGACAGAGTCACACCATGCACCCGGCATGTGAACCCCTCCCCACATCTCATCGCCAAACTCACGGGCCAGACGTGGGGAGGTGTCCCGGCGTGAGAGGCATTTACCAGTCCAGGGTCTTCTGTCCTGTCCCATCTCTGTTTTGTCCATCAGTTGTGTATCCTGGAATGGCTGGGTCTCTTGCAGCTGCTTGCAGACAAGGACCCACTCCCCATATGAGCTACTTGCGCCTCCGTGGACAGGCTGGATTTGACGGATAGTTACTGCCCATCCTCACTTAAAGCAGCTGAGAGCTCTGGTCCCTTCGCTGGCCTGGAGCAGCCTGGTGCTTCATTAACGCTGCCTAATTATCTGAGAGTGAGCAGCCCCCCTCCCCTGAATTGCATCAGCAACTCTGGGGAGGAGCCACCAGGGGACCCAACACAGGGCTGACTTAGAGCTGGTTCCTGTGCCTTAGGGGCTGGAGGCGACAGCCTGGCAGCTCCGGGCAGTGTCCCATGTGGGATCGACCCAGACAGCACCACGGAGCCTGTGCCCAGAGGGATCGGGGGGGCTTTTGATTTCGGGGAAGGGGCGACATTTCTCTCTCTCAGCCAAGAAAGGGTCCGGGGAGAAGTTTCCAGCCTGTGGTCTGCGCCTGGGAGTTAGAGCCAGAAAGAAACATTCCTTCCCCGCCTGCGTCCTCTGAGCAATGTCCCCAGGGGGTTCATCACCAGAGTGGAACATTTAATGGCTAAGGACGGACCCGCTCCCCTGCAGACAGCGCTTTGGGGGAGAATCGGGTGCGGAGAGATTTGGGGTCTGGTTTTCAACAGCGCTGAGTGAATGAAATGATTTCTTTCTTTCTTTCTTTCTTTCTTTCTTTCTCTCTCTCTCTTTCTCTCTCTCGAAAGAACGCGGCTTTTCTTTCGATGGCGGTAAACCTCGTTTCACGAGGAAGAGCGCCTTTTTCGAGGGAGATCCGTCGAAAGAACGTGAGTCTGGACGGGGGGAGCCCTTTCTTTCGAAATTATTGGCCTCCAGGAACAAGCCCTGGTGGACAATCTGGGCCATGGGTTGCACATCTGTGGTTCCTGGCTGCAGCCATTCCTTAAAGGGACAGGCACCCTCACAGCCACTTGTTGCAGACAAGGA